CCCGGATGAGCCCGACTAGTGGGAAGGATTCTGCTAGCCAAATTTCAAGGTCCCCACCTATTAGAACTTCTCCCCAAAAATTGCGCGGTCAGGGCGCTCATCCTTATGGGACTGCAACCATCGGCCCCTTTCAATCCCGGGGTTTGCCTTTATCCCTTTGTCTACTTTTGGTACACATGTGTACCACTTCCGTAGTCAAAGGCACTACCACAATTTTAGGACTCATCGAGTCGGAAACGCCCCCTTGATAGTGGAATTGTGCACAAATAGAAACTCCATGATTTCCGTTCTGTTTTCTGATTTCTGTCAGCAAATCTTTAGAAGTCGAAGGAGTTACCCTGAATAAGTCAATAAAGCAAGCCATTTCGCAGGTCACTGCTCAGTGTGCGCAGCTCCCAAAAATAATTTAGGTTTCCAAACTCACAATACTCGCTCCATTGGTCTTAGGATCTCCCTAATTTATGTCATAAGCGCAACATAGGCAGACAGACCGATGAGAGATGAAGACATTTCATAAGCAAAAACCAGCAAGAGGACAGCGCGGCGTTCTACAGCATCAAACTTCCAAAATTCGGGTGGTGCGTAAGTGGGATTAGAAGACTCCTTTGACGACATGATTTTTAGTGGAATTAGAAGTCCAGGTAAATTTCCGGAGGCAGAAGCAGCCGGTGGGATTCGAAGCGCCTTTACAGAGTGCGGCATGCGACTTCCCAAGTGTGGTCCCAATCCAGCATTAGCTTCGTTCCACTACTGAAATGTGAAAAATGTGCATTTATTAATGGTAATCAAATTGCAAATTTATTTTTCAAAATGTTTGAGCGGAGATGGTGTGGTGGCAAACACCGCGAGTATAGCCCCTGGATCAAATTCTGGACCAAACCCAGCGTACTCCAGCCAAAATTCTATAGATGATTAGTTGTTGCTAGGAGCGACAGTTACTGCACCAAACACATCGATAGCACAGTTTTCAAAAAAGTTGTAGTCTAAGGGTTAAAGCGATAGCTGAGAGATCGAGCCATTGCCCATCGTATGGTAGCTTCCTTTTACACCATGGCACTCAGACGATTCTGTTTGGACTGAAAATTCCTACGACTCCACGTTGTGCCTGCCCATGTAAAAGTTTTCCAGGATTCTTTTTATTTTACCAATGTAATAATCTGACCACCATTGAATAGACTGGTCACATTGCTGTGATAGTTGACCATACTCACAAGGGAGGTCTTTCAGGGCAAGCCGCGCTTTTTCAAAACGGTTTCTTGCATATTGTAGGGACGCATGTAGGGAACACAAAACCATGTTTCATTTTCGCTGAACGGTTTAGCAGTACCAAAAAAGAAGCATAAGGTACTGTTAATGGTTCGATCCCCCGTGGCGACTAAGTAAGAGGTACTGTTAATGGTTCGATCCCCCGTGGCGACTAAATTTTGCATTTGGGTTGGCGCCTACGGTTGGTGCCAAATCGCGCTAAATGTCAAAATCAGATGTCATATTCATCGTCAGGACCATTTTGAAGCCAACAAGTGGCCGCCAACCTTGATTGCAAAATTTAGTCGCCGCGGGGATCGAACCATCAAGGGTATCATTCACCACTTTTTTGGTACTACTAAAACCGTTCAGCGAAAACGAAACATGGTTTTGTGGTCCATACATGCGTCCCTACAATATGCAAGAAACCGTTTCCAAAAAGCGCGGCTTGCCCTGAAAGACCCCCCTTGTCAGATACACATCTTTCCCTCCTTCCAATTCCAGGCCACATCTCTCGCGACCCAGAAGAAGATGAAGAAAACGCAAGATCGTAAATGTGAAAGTATTTTATCGTCTTTCAACTTATTGATGCAGAATGAAGTTCACTGTTTCTATCAAAACGTGTGGCGTCATTTGAGACTAATTTAAAAGGATAACTTCATGGGCGGGGAGCAAAATCTCTATACATATCACGGCCCTTCAATTTCGAACCAAATTTTTGAGGTGATCAATATCAAAATTTCTCGTGCCTGCATCTACCTACACCGAGTTGGTCCCTCAAACCACCTAGACGCCAGAGCGACGTTAACTGTACTTAGGTCTGCTGAATTGTTCCTCTACTTCATTTCATTATCCTCTCGGCTTGCTCGCTCATTCGCCCTCAGCTGCCCACTGCCCACCAAATAAATACGCTGCTAATCGTATTCATAATGGTTAACATAGTCGATGTGTGTTTATCCAAATCCATGTCCAATTGGAGGAGGTGATGGGCTCGAGTCTTCCGGAGCTACCCGGTCTACTAGCCCTTTTTCATTACATGTTTTCCGCTTCTACTCTGCATTTTGGAAGGCCAAACCATACAGCATCACCGTCCGTTTCAGAAAACCAGAAGTGCGGCAAGTGCAGATCACACACCACAAGTGACGACGTCCTCCACAACGTATAAATGTTTTCTGCCAATGAAATGGTTAACCTGTTGCAGTTGTGTTCCAACAATTTGCTATTTACAGCAATTTACCAGTTATCACTATCACTATGAATCGTATAACTTACGCACCCTTACTTTGAAGGGTAGAAGGGAGAGGGCAGGAAGAGGAAGGCAGGAAGGTGGAGGAGGAAGATGGGAAGAGAGGGTGGAAGAGGGAGGGAAGGAGGGAAGGAGAGAAAAGGGAGGGAGGACACGGTGCTAACGTGACCGCTGGAGGGGCAAGAGGAAGGGTAGAAGTGGTGGTGGGAGGGAGATTATGCAGGGAGGGAGAACAACAGCATTTAAAGGGAAGGGCTATATCCGTGTGCACCTATTTAGTCTGATGGTGAATACGCGGAAGACCGTGAAGTTATGCCAAGAACAACGACTCGGCGGTTGAATGGGGCCAATGTCTATTGTAATTTAATAAATGCACGCAGAGGTGCACTATATCTAAGGCAACGTATTACCGCATGTGCAAATAAACTTTGATCGAGGTTAACTCACAAACAAAGAACGCTACTATACATCAATAGAAAAACACAATTTTTAAACATTCTTATGTAGAGTGTTGAAGCACTATGTAACTATAAATTGAAGTGATATCACGAGAATAAGCCCACATTGGATCTTCTGAACGTATTTGTGAAGCCTCTCACGTCCTTTAAGACCATCACCTGATCATTGCCAGGATTGGCTAGAATAAGTTGAAGAGATGTTGGGGCGATATCAGAAAAGCCAGATCACCAAAGCAAGATGAGTCGCAGATGCTAGTAAACATAGCAATCGTTCCTTCACCATGGCTGTAGGGTTCTTTTAACTTTAGTGTAATAATAATAGGATACCGAATACAGCTAATGAAGAGGAGTGAAAATCAATCCAAATCATCCATCCCAAAATTATCCAAGAGAAGGTGAATGACCGACTTCGAAACCCGATCTTGAATTACAAGCAATGTATTCTCTTGTAGGATCTCTTTGAAGAACTCATCCGTTTCGAGAGGTCAAAACCAGTTTAGAGGGTCACGACACAACCCTACACGGAGCAGCACAGCAACGGGATCAGCACGACGAACGAATTACAATACTTATGTGAATCCCAATGCTTCTTCGCTTCGACGTTTAAACACGGCTTAAAATGCTTCTGTTGATGCGAGTCAGAAAACCCCCGTGAGTTTTCAAGGAAGGGACTCCAATTATGCCATTTTCTCTATCTGCGGTTTCAACCCTCATTACATCGCTGCCTTATTGCGATCGATGTACAGAGGGGCGGAGCAAGAAGAAAGACTTTTGCTTATGGCCACAGCAGCAAACTTTTTGTCCAACTAGGTATACTCGTTGATAGAAGTCATACAGGAAAATAGCCCTGTATGTCCGTTCAGCAGCAGAAGCAAGCACTTGCTCACTGCCTCAGCGTTTCCAGAAAATGAAGTCATATACCATCGCCGTCGAGCTTAATGGAGCCTAACGAAATTGCTTCGCAGTTAGACATCCTCAATCAATTCACTGCTGAACAGTTATCCAGAGAAAGTTGCTTCTGCTGTAAGACCACAGCCGACCTGCATT